CAGGTCCCAGCGGCAGACTGCTCGCAGGTCCTGGACCCCATCCAGCCGCTGGCTCCGCACCTGCCAGCCGGACAAAAACCCACAGATGCTGAGGCCACTCTGGCCCCTGGGGGTGCACAGAGCCTCCCAGCGGCCCCAGCCCCTCACCGTCGCCATCCTGGGCTCTCCCTTCTACGTCATTCCTCCATCTGCCCCTGCGCTGGGATCATGCTGGTCGGTCTTAGTTACCGCATCTCCACGGTAAGTCAGGGACACTGGCGGGCAAGGTCTCCAACCATCTTTTTCTACAGAACTGACCTAGCTATTTTTGCATGTAAGTTTCAGGTAAATTTTTCAGCTCATCACATTTTGTGGGACAAATGAGCATTCTGTTTAGAATCTTGACAAATCTACGGATTAACTGGGGAAGGCAGACACGTTGACGATATCGACTCTTTCTGGCTCCAAACAGGAAGACTGTGGTAGGCGGAATTCTAAGACCCCCAGTGAGCCTCAGCCTCGGACACCCTTGTGGACTTCAAGAAAGGGGGAGTATCCTGGTGGGCCTGACCTAATCAGGCGAGCCTGTACGTAGTGAGGGCCGGGCACAAAGGGTAAGGGGATTCGACTCACAGCAGGTTCTCCGCGGCCGACTCTGAGGACTGGGGGGTTGTGGAGCAGAGAGCGAAGGCAGCTTAAGAGCAGCCCTCTGCTGACGCCAATAAGGAAACCGGGGAACGGGAAGGACCATCACCTATGGCCTCGGAACAGAACTCGACCGACAACCTGAACGACTGCAGACCTATCAGGCTCTTCCCGGAGAACGAGGTGGAGCACGGGCTGAGCCCCGCCGTGCAGAGGGCCCCGCAAAGCAGCGCCTGCCTGTCTGGCCTGCCGAGCTGCGAGCGGGTCAAGCGTGGAGCGTCTGAGGCCGCTGTGTGGTAACAGGTGCCCGGCAAGAGAACGCGACTGCATTCTCGCTCAAGGCCATTCATGGGGTTTAGTGCGGTTTTATGGTTTCCTGCGTATGGGGAATGTATTTTTAAGAACCTTGAGGATTTTCCTCTAATGTGAATAGTTATTTCTTCCGATATCCTTTAAAATAAACTTGGGGCAGCTTGTCGCTAGTGTTTAGAAAGGCAATTGATTTCAGAGTATTAATCTGATAGCAAGCCATGTTGCTGAATTATGAATGCCCTCAGCCCCTCGGTAGGGACCACCATGTTATTTGTGAATAAAAAGATACGTTTCTTCTAATGTTTTTTTTTGTTTTTTTGTTTTGTTGTTTTTTTTGTTTTTTTGTTTTGTTTTGTTTTACTTAATTTGCTTTTAATAAGCTGGTCAGATTCTAATTCCGCTATTCCTAACGGTAAAGGGCCGGGCGGTACTCTCTCTCTCCATCTGGAAAGCTCTTTCCCGGAGGTCTCTGGCTGGAGGGCATCCGCAGGGGCGCCCCTGCGGGGTGAGGAGGGCATCTCTGTGGGGAGGATGAGGCAAGTTATTTACAAGAGAACGGATCGAGTCAGTGCCCAGGCTACGGAGAACGCAAACCACTCAGAAAAGGGCTGAGAGCCACGCAGAGAGAAAACCAGCTGTGCCCTGTGGTGTTGGTATCAGGGTGATCTCACAGTTGTCCACTGGATGGATGGATGGATGGATGGACGGACGGACAGACAGATGCATGCATGTACTCCCCAGCTCTGTCTACAGACAGAACCTGGGTAAGCAGCACCCCAACAGCAGGAAACGCACCTCACGCCCACATCTTGGTTCCCAGATGCTGTTCTTGCTCAAAGGAGCACAAGTCCTTGGAGAGACGGCTGTTTCCAGGGCTGGGGCACAGGAGGCGTGACATGAGGCCTTGAACGTCTCTTCACACCAGAAAGCAAAGAAGCACTCAGAGGACAGCAGGTGCCTAGCAAATGGACACAGAAATCGAGATGAAGCGGCTCCCACCGGCCAAATGAGAATCTGTGCGTGAAACGGAACGGACTAAACAGAACACACGGAACGGAGGAAATGATAATGCGCGCGGAGGAAGGCAGGGAAGAAGTGACTGAAGCCTGCAGAACTGGAGCCTCGCCGAGCTGCAAAGCACCTCCCACCCCTGAGTTACAAAGGGAGGAAGAGCCACCTTACGCTGGGTGACCCGGCACCACCAACGGCAGATGACGGGGTGGGCAGCGGCCGCGGGGCAAACGGAAACCGCCCACCAGCTGCCAGGGTACGCAGCTCCGGTCTTCCTACAGACACGGCAGAAACACGCTGATGAGGAAACCCTGCGTAAACCCAGCCTGGGAACCTCCCATCACCATCACCGGCTGACCTTCCAGAGCGCCGAGGTCACCTGTCCGGGGAGATCACAGATGACCACGGAGCCCGAGGGTCCGGGATGGAGGCTCCGAATGGCCACGCACGGGGTGAGCACCAGCCAGCAGGAAGCCGTGGAGACCCCATCCCAGTGTCCCCGTGTGTTGGAGACCCTCCCTCAAGTGCGGAAGGCAAAGAGATCGGAACTACAACTGAACTCCCCAGTGATCCCGGGAAAGCTGTAATTGTGACGTTTCTCTAAGTCTGCGTTCACTTCCACGTTATTATCAAACATGAGCAAGACTATACTTTCGGGAATCATTTCTATAGTTCGTTATTATTAAACACGAGCAAACTCACGGCCTCACCTTGCTCCTGCCCCTCCCTGCCCTCCCCCGGCCTCAGAAACAGCAGCTGTGTCCTTCCTGGTGCCCCCCAGTGGGGACAGGGGCCTGGGGCCCCCGTGGGGAACCCCCATGGGAGAGGAGACAGTCCCCGCCCACTCGCAGCCCTTCCTGGTCCCAGTGAAGGCAGGCAGGCGACCCCAGGTCCTGGAGGAAGTCACCTTCAGAGGCCCGGGCTAGCTGGTTGCCCCGATCTGGGCAGGTACGAAGCAAGTCCCCCACAGCGTGAAGGACTCAGGCCTCCCAGGCAGGTGGGGGCTTTGGTGCCCACCCGGGTCCCTGCCTTGCCCGCACCCAACTCCAGGCCCATCGGCGTCTGGGACCAAAGGCCCCACTACTTGGTGCGTGTGGCTGCGGACCCACCACTCTGCGGACCCACCCCCTTCCCCTCTCCCCCCAGGAGACCCCTCCACTGGGCCAGCCGCCTCCATTCAGCTTCTTGCCGACACCCAGGCCAGCGCTCCCCAGGCCGCGGACACACGGGCCCCTCCTCGGAGCCTGACCCGTGCCACGGGGCTCCCCGGGGCCCAGTGACGTCCTGCCCCCGCCTCCACCCACCTCCACCGGGGCAGCGACACCACTCCAGGTGTCCCAGACTCCTGCATGCGACTGGGGGACTCCGGAGTCCAGCAGGGCTGAGCCCCCTGTACCTTGCGCCCATCCAGAGTGCAGAGGGGTGACCAGGACCACGGTAGCCACAGACAACAACAGCGGTGCCCGCCAGAGCCGCAAGGGGCTGAGAGATGTGAGCACGTGTCCTCCTCAAACGGGTCCTCCCCAGTGCAGCCCCCAGACGGCACCGGGCAACCCCCACCAGCTCCCCTTAACCAAAAGCGGAGCCCCAGCTCCCCCGTGAACGCAGCCCTCGTTCTCGTGGGGACAAATGTTGGGAGGCCGATACCATTTGAAACTGAGGAAGGAACAGTCAGTGCCCCCAGAGCACCCAAGAGACACTAGCTTGTGGACAGAAGTCACCAGCTTGAGGGCACCACCTTCGGCTGGCCCATCCTGAAGGCGGGGCCAGCCTCTCCGAGCAGCACCGTGTCCCAGACTCTGGCGTGGGTCACCCGAATTCCGTGCCACATGACAGTAATGACCAGACAGGGCTTCTCTGCACACGGGCCGTGAAACACAAGGCAGGGGACCTTCCGAGTGGGAGCTGGAACCTGCACACGGGCGGGGCAGAAGGAAGGACATCCCACCTGGCAAGTGTCCACTACGAGGCTCACGCTGGGCGGACGAGCCTGCAGCCCAGGCCTTGGATCCCAGGAGGAAGCAGGCCTCTGGCCAGCCTGGGAAAAGCAATGAGCTATCCCCTGGGGGTCATGGGTTCCAGCGTGCATGAGAGGGAATCCAATCCCGCCACCAGATGGCGCTCAGACCTCGGATGGAGGGGGTGACGGGGTGGCGAAACAGGAGGTGCAGAGGGCAGCTGACCGGGTGGGCCTCAACCTTGTCCCCAGAGACAGCGGGGCTCCGCCAAGGCAAGCCGGGTGCAGGCTTCTCACCCCACCGCTCCGTGCCCAGCCCAAAACCAGCCTTCCCAGAAGGCAGCCCGCAGAGAAGACCAGCCTGAGAGCATCTGAAGAGCCCCCAAACCTGAGGGGTGTGGCCCGCTGATGCCCAGGATGCCAGGTCGACTCCAGGATCAGAAATTGCAGTGTACAGGGTGGGTCCGTAAAACCGTGGCCAGCCCTACGCAACCCTAGGCACCGGGGTCTCTTGACGTTTTACAAGTTTCTTTTTTGTTTGAGTTACTTTCCCTTCTTCCCACTTCTCAGACAAACGGGGAAGAAGGACATCACTTCCTGCAGTGGCGTCAGCACCTGTGCCCTTGCTTCCCCCTTTGGTGCCCACAGCAGACGGCACTAATCGGTCCCGGCATTAGTTTCCAGGATTCCAATCCTGGTTGACACAGACCTGCAGGGGCTCCCAGCAAGCACTCGAGTCGGCCCTTGAAATGAGAACACTCTTGACGGTTTTCCTGGATGTATGGTGGCTCAAGTGGCAATATGGCCTGTCACACATTACGCACTTCTGCCCCCTGGGCCACACGCCCTGCAGACACATGAAGTACAGCTACCATTGGGGCACCTGGGGGCCCAGTCAGTTGAGCGTCCGGCTCTTGGTTTCGGCCCAGGTCATGACCTCACGGTTCGTGGGATCGAGCCCTGCGTTGTGCTCCGTGCTGACGGTGTGGAGCCTGCCCGGGATCCTCTCTTCTCTCCCTCTGCCTCTCCCCACTCACTCGTACATGTGTTCTCTCTCGCTCTCAAGATAAACTTAGAGGAAGAAAAGCAGAGCCACTGGCTTACACATGCCTTTATGCAAGTTAGAAAAAGGTACCCGTCACCCTGGGGAGACATTCCAGTGCCTGGACACACCCTCGCAGCCAGGTTTACAGTGCACAACCTAAACAACCTTACCTGGCCACCCTGCTCCAGAGAAGCAGGATTGGAGTTGTGTCCACATAAGAATGACGACCTCACTCTTCGCAAGGATAAAAACTACGGGCATTCTGACCCGTAAAGAAATCCGTCCAATCAATACTCATGGGAGCCATAAAACAATAAAACCCTTAAGATTCTCTTCCTCTAAAACCACCCAAACTGAATGCCCTGGAAAGCTGCCGGTTGGCCCGTGCAGGCCCCAGGCGGGCCCGTGGTCCCTGAAGGCCACTGGCAGCGAAGGCACCACGGAAATCGCAGGGCCCACGAGGAAGGCCACTGCCTCCTGCTTTCCAGACGGTCTCAAAGGTCCCGGGGAGTCACCCTCCACCCGGGTGTAGAAAAGTCAAAGTCTCACTGCAGCAGCCGACCAAAGAAAGCGGCCGGGCGCGGAGCCCAAGGCGCCGCGAGGAAAAGCCGCTGGTAGGTGGTGGTTCCGCCGGGCAGCGAACAGGGCCCTGCTCTCCGCTCCCGCCTCGCGTGAGTGGAGAATTCCGGCCACGCAAAGTCTCTCCTCCTGGGCTGCTGCCTCGACGGGCGTCCGTCTCGAGGCCACACGGCCACCTGCCGCCCGTGCCAGGACGGCGCACCTGGGGGTCACCTGCACAGCCGCAAGTGCGGGTGACAGCTCAGCCTCTCCAGCAGCTCCTCCTCCGTGGGTTCCTCCAGGACGTCCCTGTGGAGTCGGGGGGAGGGAAAGACGTGTGGGGAGCTCCGGAGAGTGACCCGGGTGCCTCCAGAAGAGCGTGAGCATGACTCGGAGAGGCCCTGCTCCCCGCTCAGGAATCCTCAGACCCGTGCACAGCTTGGGGAGGACCGCGGACACGAGGACGCGTTTCCACGTCTGGGATGTGAGCACGGTGCTGAAAGCCCGGGAGGACGCCCCTCCACGCCAGCCGGCGGCTACAGCACAGCACATGCTCACGGGGGCGGGGGGAAGGGTCGCCCCCGCTGGCCTGTCCCTGGGAGACCGCCGCCTTCCTGAACCGGCAGGGGATGGCTTCCACCGTGGGGAAGGGCAGGCCACCTGCCTCCACCCACCAGGATAATCGCTTGGCGACTAAGGGAAGCTGAGCCTGTCGCCTTCCACGCCCACCGGACAACAGCACAGAGCTCACGGCCCAGCAGCAGGAGCAGAGGAAGCCCACGCCCTGGTCCCGGCTGGGAAGTCGGTGGGAGGGAGGCAAGGGACCGGGGGCTCGTGGGGAGACCGTCACAGAGGACGCCCGCCTGCCGGCCACCTCCCGGCCTCTCCCCCTCCCCGCCCAGAAGCCAAGCAGACGCCCCCGTCCTCATCCACACACCTGAACAGGAGATCCACAGTCACCTGACAGCACGTATCTGGGTCCCCAGCAAGGGACTGCAGGTGAGCGCGGCGGTCCCACTTGTGGAGGAAATTCTGGGGAGCGGGCGGGGGGAGAGGGGGCCCAGTGGGTGTGCGTCCCACACGAACCAGCCTTTTCCCCTCCAGCGTCGGCCAGGCGTCCACGGCAGGGAGCGGAGCTCACCCCGACGCTGGGATCCAGGGCCCAGCAAGGCCACCGGCTCCTGCAGGAGCCAGACGCCTGATGGCCGCCCCCAGCCCACCCGGCGGCCGAGAACCCCCACACATCAGGGGTCGAGGGCATTCCAAGGGGCTCCCGGCAGCCAGGGCGAGCAGCGCCAAGGGCAGGACGGAGCCTCGGCTGATACCTCCAGAATCAGAGCCAGAAACAGGTTGACCCAGATGACAGATGACACCAGCCACCACAACACGAAGTACATCTTCGACCACCTGTGGAGGAGGAAGGCCGCGGGGGCCACCGTGAGCCACCCAGGCCACATGCGCACGCGGGGGGCACCGCGCACCTGACGGCGTGTAAGCAGCGGCTCTCGGCGAGTCCTGCCGTTAACTCTGTGGCGCCACCAGTCCTGTTTTCCAGCCGCCCAACCAAGGCTCCCGGAAGCGGTCAACGAATCGCCAAGGCAGCACGGCCGGCAAGCGATTCGGCTGGGATTCGAACCCGGGACCCTCCGCTGGGGCCGTCTGAGCCCCCCAGGCTCCAGGCTCTCCTCCCCTCAGCCTGCCCCCAGGGCTCCCAGCAGCCTGAGGAGCCTCACCCCTCGGCGGTCCCCAGGATTGGCGAGCCCAGGGTCGCACGGCACAGTTACACGGCGGGGGCGGGGTCACTCACGGGCCCGAGAAGCGCCGATAGGCGTCCAGAAACACCTGCCAGTTGTTCACCACCATCACGTTCCACAGAGTGATCAGGGCGGCCTGCGGGGACGCACACACGGGCTCCAGGAGGGCAGAGGAAAGGGGTCGGGAGGGCAGGGGTCCTGCGGAGCAGGGCGTGCGGGGCTCACCGCGAAGTCATCAAAGTTGTTGGCCCAGTACTCCAGCTGCTCGAAGCTTCCGCAGGGCGCCGAGCTGTTGTCGGGGGCCAGGCTGCAGGGACACGACAAGCTGGGTCAGGGGTGGGGACGGGGACACGGACGCGGGGGGCCCCGGCACTGCCTCAGCCCCTGCATGCCTGGAACCGGTCTGGGCCCGAGAAGGTAGAGACAGAAATGCCCCCATCTCCGGAGGTGCCTCGAGGACGGCCAGGGGCCGAGAGCCGCAGACAAACAGACAAACAGGGGAAACCGAGCCTCCCAGACAGCCGGCTCTAGGTCTGGCCCCCCGCTCCGCTCCACCAGGGCATGGCCTGGCCTGAAGCTCCCAAGTGGGGCACAGGGGTGGGGCCGCTGTGCTGAGCAGGCTTCAGACACGCTCTCAGTGCAGAGTCTGGGTGAGGGAGGGGAGGGGGAGAGG